CAATAAAGAACTTCCTACAAGCCCCAAATTTGGCGCGGCCCACGGTCACTTAGAAACTTCGAAATACCTTGAAAAAGCTGTCTGTCTCAAACCCCATAAATGCTTGTCTCATCAGTTACAATATGGATCCTGCTGACTTCGCCGCCTTCGAACAGTTCAGCGTTGGTTTGAATGAAGAATTAATCCATACACCTAAGTCTTTCTGACTGTCAACTTGTTGAAGCGGTGTACCTTTTAAGGAATACATTTTGGGGTTGGATGCTCTACAATTGCCGATTTGGAGAAAGTTGCATTTACTAACATTGAGGGGTACACGCCAATACTTTGACTAGTCCTCCACCCTGTTCAAGTAAGCTTGCAGCTGGTTTTCATCTGCTGTATTTTGGAAAACTTTTCACCATTTTATATCGTCGAGTGTGATGTCACCCTGTTCGCTCATGACTGATATTGATATAATGAACGCTGTGTAAATAGCGGCAGTTTGTGAGTGGCTGACACATATAGCTGATGTTAACTTTACATTTGCCGAAGGTGCTGTCATTAAAGTTAATTTTAAAGCATTTTTTCCAGGTATAAATTTTAAGCAAAGCCAAAACAGCAGAATTTATTTGCCCAAATAAATTTCGAGAGCGCTTATCAACTGCGTCCGCTCTGTGCATAAATGACGAAACAATTAGACAACATATTATTTTGAATTTGCACAAAATGGATCATAGCAAGGTCAGGTTAAGGCGACAAATGGTCAATAGTTATGTCAACTTTAAACTTGGGACGAAAAGTAGGGAGGGTAATTAACAAAAATAAAAGTGTGGTATGTATTTACCAGGGCAATTAAAGATTAACTACGTGGTCTAGTTGTTTACACAGGTCGGGTTTCTCACGCCGTATGTAGGATGGTCACTCCGTTGACACCAAAACATCTTTCCCCGTTCTTGTTCGGGCACGAGCAAACTGAAACTAACGTTACGTGGAAACATCCTACATACGGCGTGAGAAACCCGACCTACGTATGCAACTAGACCACATAGTTAATCTTTAATTGCCCTGGTAAATACATAACACACTTTATTTTTGTTAATTACCCTCCCTAATTTTCGTCCCAAGTTTAAAGTTGACAACTATTAACCATTTGTCACGTTAACATGACCTTGCTATGATCGATTTTGTGAAAATTCAAAACGATATGTTCTCTAATTGTTTCGTAATTCGTGCACAGAGCGGACGCAGTTGATAAGCGCTCTCGAAATTTATTTGTGCAAATAAATTCTGCTGTTTTGGCTTGCTTCAAAGTTAATTTTCTTGTCAGTTGTGGATACTAATAGGGAGCTCAAGTGTGAATGCCTTTTTTCTTTAATAAAGTGACTTATTCAGGCAAAAGCCTGTAGCTCTGAATAGGGATCTACGCCACGATAAATGCAGGGTACTTCAGGATTCATTCAGTTAAAGGGAAAATACGCTCGGAATCATACGAACGATGCAGGGCTGACGACTACTTACCATCAGCTGAGGAATGTACTGGCCGGGTGGCTGACTACATAAGTATTAGCATTTCTATCGGAATGAGGCCAGAAATAAAAGTAAGATACCACT